TTTCTTGTAAGACTTGTAAGACGATCTGTCTCAATGCAAGCTGCACGTGCATCGCGTGCCCCCGTCATCCAGTGTCGTGGTTTAGCGGTCGGATGCTGTCGGGTGCAAAATCATTTTCCTCGTGCAGAATCTGCTTTTTTTTTTTTTTTTTTTTTTTTTTTATTTTTTAAATCTATATCTGCCACTGAAACAAAACGAGTTCGATTCTCACGTGGTACTCCCACAGTCTGACCTTGTGCCAGACTAAACAGAAATTAACAGATATCTAAGTGCAACAATTACCGACTGAAGGGTTTCTTCATTTCCCCTTGCAAACCAATTCGTTATTTCTGAATGTCTGAGATGACGGTAGGGAGCGATATCGTTATTAACATTTTTTAAAAACTCTATTGTCCTCATGTTTGTTGTTGCATTAACAAAGAAGAAGAATTAATGACAAAAAAAGAAGGTTAGAAAAAAAATAATATTACCGTAAATCGGTAATATCCAAATACAACACGAATACTTGCAAGGGAAAGGTGAATATAACTTGTTTGGTGATCACTGGTTATCTTCTGATACAAAAAACAGCAATGTACCCGGTCTCTTCTACATCTGTTAGGAGATTGCCTAGCATTTACTGTCATAGAAGTTGGTAGGCTTTCTTATCGTCCTGTTCACATTACTCCCCGGTCTTTTAAACAGTTCCTGCTCCGCTAAGACCAATACTGAATTCCAATGGAAATTTTAGAATCTGTTTATATTACGCCCTACCAGCCATCTTTCTCTAAGGAGTGATTAAAGGTAATTAGTCTGCAAGTGTTATATAACATCTGGTCTGTGGTATTCATTTTTAGCCGTTGTGCACATTTTTCATCTTCGATTTAGCTCTGATGACAGAGGATCGATAAACTGGTTTAGCCATCTTTTTCATCTTGTTTCGATATTACCACTTAACGGTGATATTATTTTTGTTAGTCCCTCTTTTTTTTTTTTTTGTTATTAATTTTTCGTTTTGCTTTAATAATGTCCGTTTTCACCGTATTAATGAAGTTTTCTATTATAGATGTTATTTATTACGGAATAAACAAAAAGAACGTTTTTAGCAAGCCAATAGAACTTTATTTTTAAAGTAGCAATCCATCACGTCGTTTCAAGTAGCAACGAGATTTTGTGGTTAGCAGAATGCAGGTACGGCGGCCTCTCACAATTGCTTAGACCCGCGAAGAGCTTTGTTATTTGATAATTAGAAATATGCCACGATTCTCAACCACTATGAATTTTATTTTTCCTTTATATATTTTTGAAGTGAACAGACTTCTTTTAACTTTTATTATATTTGACCGTGTCTGTGAGTGTCTGGGTTATTTTAAAGTAGGTATTTAAATACTTTTAATTAACTGAGACAGTCGAGTATTGCCATTGTATAATCGGTTTAAGTCTCTTTCGTACTGTATCTAATGCTTCAACTTGAGTTACTTATATATATATATATATATATATATATATATATATATAAAAAATTAGTGGTAAATATATACATACATATGCAAAATATATAAATATATATACATACATGCATATACATACATGTATATTTTTTGAATAAAAAATTCCAAGAGGATAGAATCCAGGTAGAACTCAGTGTCCAGGACAGAGTAAGAATATAATAAAAAGGCTTAAACACTAAACTTATGATTCCAATGGAATAAATTATGACCATGGAATATTAGTGTTTAAGCCTTTTTTATATATATATATATATATATATATATATATATATATATATATATATATATTAAAAATTATTCTTATGGAATTAACGCCGTAAACAAATGTCACTGGTACGAATACGTTTGAAATTATTCTAGGGTTTTATTTTATTATTACTTTATCCCGGGTTTCGTTTGCTTCTTCTTCTTTTTTTTTTTTTTTTTTTTTTTTTTTTTAACGTTTCTTACTTTTTCTCTTTTTTATGTTTCCCTCATGACTCTTTGACGTTTCTTTTCCATTTTCTGTCTTCACTCACTCTCTATCTTTCTTTCTTTTTGTTCTCTGTTCTTTCCTCCACTCTCTTCCGCTCTCCTCCTACTTCCCTCCGTCACTCCTTCCTGTCTGTTGTTCTCTCCTTTTTTGCCTCCTCTCTCTGTCGTCACGTTCTTCTCTCTCTCTCTCTCTCTCTCTCGCTCTCTCTCTTTTGTCTTGTGCTTTCGGCGGTTCAATTTCTTTATTCTCTTCTCTTTTTTTCTTTATTACCTTCCATTGCCGCTCATTTTCTTTTCCGTTTCGGTCAATCACTCCCTCACTTTTTGTTTCTTCTTTCCCTCGTTCTCATATTCTCTTTTTTGTCTTCTCTTTTCGTCGTCCCCCTCTCTCTTTTTGTCTTTTCTCTCCGTCGTCCCCCTCTCTCTTTTTGTCTTTTCTCTCCGTCGTCCCCCTCTCTCTTTTTGTCTTTTCTCTCCGTCGTCCCCCTCTCTCTTTTTGTCTTCTCTCTCCGTCGTCCCGCTCTCTCTTTTTGTCTTTTCTCTCCGTCGTCCCGCTCTCTCTTTTTGTCTTTTCTCTCCGTCGTCCCCCTCTCTCTTTTTGTCTTTTCTCTCCGTCGTCCCCATCTCTCTTTTTGTCTTTTCTTTCTGTCGTCCCTTTCTCTCTTTTTCTCTTTCCTTTCCGTCGTCCCTTTCTCTCTTTTTCTTTTCTTTCCGCCGTCCCCCTCTCTCTTTTTGTCTCCTCTTTCCGTCGTTCACCTTTTCTTTTTGTATTATCTTTCCGCTGTTCCTTTCTCTTTTCTTTTCATTTTCCTCTTTTATTTTTTTCTTCTTTTGACGTCTCTTTCTTCTTCATTGTCTTTTCCTTTTCCTCTCTTGTTTTCTTTCATTTTTACACGTCCTCCCTCTATTTCTGTGTCTCCTCCTATTTTTCTTTTCCCGTCTTTGCCTCTACCTTTCTTCTCTCTTATAGCCACTTTCTGTTCCACACCTGATTTCTCCAACGCTTTTCCGTCTCCCGTGTCTCTCTTCTCGTTCTCAGCGTTTTTTTTTTTATTTTCCTTCAACTTCCTAAAGTACATTTTCTTTTTTGCATCTGTTTACCTTCTTTCTTTACACCTCGTTCACTCAATCATATTCACTCCTCCAATTTCATGTTGATGCGAAAATACTGACAACAGTAAGACCCATTGATTTGATTATTTTGCATCCTGTAGACGGCTACAACATAGTGACGAGAGACTCACTCACGGAGCCACTCTCCCTCGGCCATTAGCTAATGCTTGAAGATGGCGATCGTGTCTTTAAGCACACAGTTAATTAACGTCTCAGTGCAGGGACTCTGTGATTGGATTACTTTGAAAATGAAACAATTTTCCGACGGTATTTTTAAAGAACAGGTTATTGATTATGCCCTTGCGTTCTTCAGGCTTGTTAGTGCTTGATTTGTGTTATTTCTTTGCCCTTCCCGCTCTTTTGCCTCAGGGCGGGAAAACAAATGAACAGGGCGCGTGCCTTGGCCGCCATTGTTGTCGTTGGCGCGTTAATGAAATCAAGTGCAAGGATTTGGTTTACGCGGTTATTGTAAATTGTTTATATCAAGATGGCGATCGTATTCGCATCAAGGCAATTGACATGAGTGGCAGCGAAAATATAAAGGGGAAAAAAAAAAGAAAAAAATGTCAAATTTGTATGGGAAATGTGAGGGTTCGTAAGGAGGAAATGGTGTCGAGAGAGTCACGAAAGAATATTCCGCTTCAGGAATTGATATTATAATAAATGTTATTATAGTCATTGTTATTAGTATCGTCATTATTATAACCGTCTCTAGTAGACACATTATAATGACTCTCACTCGTAAAAGCGTTATTATATTTCTTCTTTAAAACCGACGTTATTACGACACTCTTTCGCATTGGTGCTATTGAGACTCTCCAGTAATGGGGTTTTCAAACTCTCTTGTACCGTCGTTCTTGTGACTCTCTTTTGTACCGGCGTTCGTTCTTGTGACTCTCTTTTGTACCGGCGTTCGTTCTTGTGACTCTCTTTTGTGACGGCGTTCGTTCTTGTGACTCTCTTTTGTGACGGCGTTCGTTATTGTGACCCTTCCTTGTACTGGCGTTATTGTAGCTCTCCCTTGCACCCGCTTATGGCTATCACTATCGCTTCTTAGTTATAAACGGTGTTTCATTAAGACGGATTATATATAGGGGTGTTTCATTAAGACGGATCAAAGTCGGCAATAAATAAATCAGTGTTATTGGTGAAAATTTATTTATTTCTCTATTGGATCATGTCATTTAAGTCATGGAAATTATGTGTGAAAAATAATATCGCCCAAATATCCGCCAAATCTGAAAGAAAAAGAAAAAAAATCATTAGATGCTTAAACTGAATTCACATGAAAATCCCACCAAGTTATTGGAACACCCTTTTTATTTTTTTTTACGCTATTTAAGATAATATTTTGCACAGTGTTTCTTTCTATTATTTTTGTTCCTTGCTTTTTTTTAGCAAATATTATAAAGAGAACTGTAATAATAGGAAGAATTAAAATATCAAATGTTATTCATACTAATTCCTTAGCATTTTTTATTTTCCTTTTGTCCCGTTAATTCTCTTGTTTTCTCGGGTGTATGTTGCGTTCGATAATCATTGCCCCACTTAATAGGGATCTTTGTTCGAGTAATGGTAGTAGATTATCCAAGAACTTCAGATAACACTCGGACAGTCGGATAACGTACCGGCCAACATTTGGCGATCAAAACAAATAAAGACTAGGATACAATTCCAAATAATTCTTTGAACAGTGCTGGTAAAACAAAAACAAAAAAAAAATTAGGAATTTATAAAGACTGGTGACTACAGCAAAAATAAATAAATAAGGATACTCGACATTAGACGAGCTGGAAAACATCGGTAATAATCAAAACAACAAAGAGAACGATATTAGTTTGAATAACTTATAGAATAAAAAATTAGATTTTCATGTATTCGGTCAGTGCAAAAGATTCCCGCGGTTAATAACCGCATTTTGGCTTACAGCCATATTAGGTTGAAACACCGTTTCCCATACGACCATCGAAGTTAAGCAACGTCGAACCTGATCAGTACCTAGATGAGAAACCGCTTGAGAATACCAGCCGCTGTA